GGTCCTACCTATCCTAAAATTTCATTACCCTTAATGTACTTAAAGAAATCCTTACTATTAGTTTTTACATTTTAAGCCAACCTTTCATTATAGATCCTTTTTGATGTCCTAATTTCCTGTTTGACCAATTCTTGATCTTATGTAATATTCCAAATCTCCCGTCATACCAGTGAATTTAAATTTCTTAAATGTGTGATGCTTTTCTGTAATTGTATCTCTTATACCCTTTGTGAGCCAACCTGGTTTTTACTTGCAGCCTCCCTTTTATTTCTCTTAGGAATATGTTTATTTTGAATATTTATAAATTCATCCTTCAAAAGTTCCACATTTGATAATTTTCTTCAAATAACTCAAGTGCCCATTTCACAACAGATAATTCTTGTCGCATCCCATCAAAATTTCAATTTTTGAAATTTGTAGCAACATTTCTGATCTCCACATGCAGCAAAATATCAAACCTAATAGAACAATGATCACTTGCACCCAGATATTTCCCAATTTCCACCCTCTCAACAATAATATTTCAAATAAACATTCGAGTTATACCAAAACCAAAATAAAAATCACTTCTTTACTCATAATGTGAAAAATAATTTGTAACACTATCATTATCATAAAAGAAATATTGTTCTATCTCTTCACGTCTTGGATGTATATTTGGAATCGCAAATAGCCTATAATCCAAGAAGGTTTTTTAAAATTAGTGTTTTTCTTTCTAATGATGTTTAAGAATTTTGTAGTAGGTTACTTGACCAATTGGTGAAGAAAATCATCTTTATCAGTTTCATCAAATTCTCATGGTTTGACAAGCATTTTCCAATCTATAGGGTTGAAATTAAAATCACCCATAATTATGAACTCATTAACAGCTGGCATCTTAATCTCACTTTAAAGTTTCTCATATCTCATCAGTATCATTTGGTGATCTGTAATAAATTCCCACTAAGAGCCTTTTCCTTTATATCCGCTAATAGAAACCCAAATGGATTCAATCTCACTGCTATTATCTTTGATATTCTCATCCTCAGCAGGATGTAACTCACATTTCACATATAGAGCAGCTCCTCCTCTCTCTCTTTAGTACGATATCCCTATTAAATAGCCTGTAACCCTGTATTTCAAAGAAATGTCTGTCATCAAGATCATCTACATTTAACCATGTTTCAGTTATTCCCATTATATCAAAATCCTTCATTCTTACCAGTACCGTAAAGTCACCTATTTTATTTTTT